ATCTTCCTCTTTTATCCGAATGGGCAACCAAAACCGGCGCACGAAAGTGCATGGTTAATGTTTGTAAAAACTGAACTGAACTGATTGCAAATCTCCTAGCGGTTGATTGCGATTGAGTGAACAAGCTTGGTGCAATGCGACGAACATCAAGTTACACATCCCGGGGACAGCTATATATTACTTGTCGCGTCCCCGTTTCAACGTTGAATAGAGTAGAAATATGTACAGATTGAAGCTCACGGTTAGGCATAAGCAGTGGTAGTAACCGAATTCGTGATGGCTCTTCGCTCGGCCAGCGCTGTCTTTGAGGAAATAGCGCCGCTACGGTGCTGCTAGGTGGCGAATGTGATTGGCCAGTATGCATGGTCTAACACCTTGTCCCGTTTCCATCTACTTACTAATGCTCACCAGTAGAGTTCAGTGATGCAAACGGCTTATGTGATACACGCGTGCTGCTTTGTAGACATCATTTGGATATATGAATTCCTTGAAGGCTTGAATAAGTGACTAAACTCTGCTGAGGATTGTGCTTTGCAACTTTGGTAAGCACCGACGCTTAGATTTCCGTTCATAATCCTATTTTAAAAATCTCTCTAGTTCAATTCAGTGCACAGGGTCAACTGATCTTCTATCAGGAGATGGTGGTGTGGAATATGAAACCACTATACTGGCTAAGGCGCCAAAGTGCTACTTGTCCTCGTTGCTTATAGATCTGTCGTGAACCCTTGATTGAACAGTCTGGAAGATTGAAGGATAACGGTGAATGGTGCAATGGGGTCGTTCATTTTTCGGGTCTTGCGTGGTTCGCATATTCTCTTCCCAGGAATAAATGATCGACTTTCATAACCGACCAATAGGCTTTGCTGCTGCTGATAAGGATTTTTCTCTCATGTTGTTTTTGCAACACTAACAAAGTTTGCAAAAGTTTACAATAATTTTACCTGGAAAATCACTCCTGGAACTGTTTCCCTGTTCTGCATGAGTTGTTTTCTATAAGGACAGTGTTGTGCTATCTATCATATTGAAGCTCCCGCATCTGACTGACCTACTTGACTCATCTTTTTATGTCATTCTGTAGACGAATTTCTGAACGAAGCGCAAAATTTCGCCCAGATTACTCCAATGGAAATCGATATACTTTTCACTTTGGCCTCCATGTTGCGTACAGACGGGTTAGTGCGTGTTGAAATTGTTTGTTTTTGAAATCTCCCAGTTCTCTCTTCCCTCATGTCCCCGAATTTTTGTTTTCTAACTTGTGTATTCGTTAGTTTGTAACCGAGTAGTTCCATTACACGGTACCAGAAGAGCGATCTGCTCACAATGATACCAATTAGCGACAATTTGTAATGTTTCTTAAACGGAGTTACCTATTCGGTGTATTAATTTGTCTGCGTATCATTATCCTCCTGTTGTTAAATTCAAAGATTACTCTCATCTTGATTGATGTCGAAACGGTTAAAACGAAACATTTTCCATCCACATAAGCTTCCCCTCGGTGTTGTAAGGCTGTGAGGGTTTCAGGTCCCCCCCTCCGTAATATTCCCAATTATAGTCTCAACACGGACACAAAGAGAGAATCCACTGCGGCTGAGTTATTATAAGGACGAAGAAACTACGGATTAGTCTTTTTTTTACTACACACCTTGGTGCGATGAACAGCAGATCAAATAAACCCCATAGTCATTTGGACCTGCTGTTCGGTCATGAAAACCAGTAACCTCAGCCCCGGGACTTGAAATTGCAGACCACTTAAGGCCCCGCTAGGTTAGGTGTGATATTAAGCCGGACGACAGCAAATCTGCCTATCACTAAAGTTGAGTGGAGATGGCGGGGCTCAAATCATAGGGTCTGAAGCACACCGATGACAGCGGCTAAACCACTACACCAGCATCACCCTCTGCACAACTTTATTGTTTGATTTCGGTTATGCCACATGGACCTATTGATCCAATTCCGTGGGATCATCTTTATGGTGCACTCAAGCACACGAGGAAAAAGAGCGAGCGTTTGCGGACACAGGTTCATGTGCAATTTGTAACGTGTTTTGAACCGGTTCAAGATAACCGGATGAATGGATATGAATGCTTCATTTTGGTTTGTATAGTGTTTACCGTCTACCAAGTAAATGAGAATGGCACTTGAGATTAAATCGAAATCATCTTGAATCTGTCTTGTGGATCGATGTCGATCGTGTGTAATCCACGCATGACTTGCGTGCGCATGTGGTGGCTGTCAGCGTCGTCCACTTGGTCAATAATGCCATGTGCAGTAGGCTATAATAGCAGCCCTCACCGACGCTGAGAATTCTGGCAGTTGGTACCCCTGATCAGAGCCCTTTGGGTCGTAGATCCAGACCTACGACGTGAATAAAGTACTCCTATGGAACATTTTCCTCACCTGTCTATTGAGGCCTTCGGGTTTCGGATTTGTTTCCTTTCTCACTGATGCGGTTTTTATTGATCCGCTGTTCGGAATTTCGATTTGAATTTCATGCTGGCAGCTGTCCACTGTCGGAGGGAAGCACCGGTACCTAGCCCTCACATTCATCTATTTGAGGCCCTTCAATCGACCAACTGCTCCGGACAATTTGTTTAGAGTGATATGTACAGGATGCGAGTGAATGATTTAAGCAATAGTTACTCAACCGGCTGGCATTGTGAGATTTAGCTTTTCCTGGATTTTACCAGTTGACTGGATCGAAGGCTGTGAAATCCATTCTGTTTACCTCGCTGGGTTTTCGTGGTGCACATCACGTCAAAGCACAGTTCTGTGATGTGATGTAAATGAGCACAGATACGGTCAGCTCAGTGTTTTCACTTACATACCGATCTCTGCAGAAATGGCTGCTGCACCGGCTTTCTCTGCAGTGGGGTTGCTGATACGTAGCTATTTCGTATGAACACTAGCACCTTGTTCCAGCATATCCAGGTGTGAAGATAGGACGCTTCGAAGACCGGAAATGGGAGTGATTTTCGATTTTGGTTACGAGCTATAAAACTGAACTGATGTAGCGTATTGATTACTCTATGTCTCTTTGTTGTTCGATAACCTTATTCTCCCGTCTACAAAACAAAAGTACTCCTTTATCTTAGGATTCTCTTTAACCAATAAACTGGCAATGACCGGCACAATTAATGTTCTCCCGTAAGGATTTTCTGAATTGACTATGGCTGATCATCGAGATATCCTCCGATACTTTCACGTGCACCTTGTTCCCCAAGCACGAAATTCACTGTATCATTTTAAATATACTTTTATGGTGATTTCTATATTCTCGGGGGCTATCTGGTCGCTGATAATGCATCACTGATTGTGTTACTGTGTCATCATTAGTTTTTGGCATTCCATCACATGCATTGATAACGATTTGATCTCAGCGGTGATTTCCCGTCCATTCGTAACACCGGCAACAACAACATAAGCCTGGAAATTTGAATTGGAGAGTGACAAATGCAACAAGACAGTTGTTCTGTGTAGTGAGGTGACTGCAGAGCTGACTTTCCACAAAGTTATCTGTCGACTGTAATTATCCGAGTAGTTGAATGGTACTCAGTTGAACCGTTTATTCATTATCACCACACAGTTTATTACTTTCGTAACTGGTCGAGTATATGCTGCAACAGTTCGGCTAGTGTTGTTTTACGGTGCAGAGACTTGACTATTAAGGGAACATGATGAAAAAGATTGTTAGTGTTCGAACACTGCTGTCTACGTCGCATTGCACGACTCTGGCGGGGTAACCGAAGTAGATCAAGGCGTGGAGTTTTACGTAATCGCGGTCGTCCACTGAAGGAAGTGATCTACCTTTATAGATTACGCTGGCTGGGACATGTGCTACGCATGTCACCAGATAGATTGCCACGGTGAGCGATGTTTACCAAGACAGGTAGCGATTGGAAAAAGATCAAGGAAGGTCAAACTAAAACCTGGCATGAGGATATGAAAACCCTAACCAGGAGACTAGGTCACATAGGTCCAGTTTGGTTCCCTGGCTGGGGACCCTGAGATCATAGTCATCGATGGTTAGAGACAATGAATTCGCTGTCTTTCGCTTGAAGTTGCTTTCAATATTCCAACCTTCATTCTGCTGTTTTATCCAAACCGGCACACGAAAATGCATGGTTAATGGTTGAAAGAACGGAACTGAACTGAACTCGTAACCGGACCGCCTTCTTACTCATTGTCCTTTTTGTTCACTTGACCTCTTTTTCCCGATCACTGTGCACACACACACTCATCAGACGTATTGGACACAAAGAACTGGCTGCCGTCGCGCCCATCAAAGATGGTGCGTTGTGTTATCACAACTACGCCTCCGCACTATATGTGAGTTCATTGTTGTTGCTCTTGTCCGACTATGCTCAACAATATTATGTTTGCTTACTCAAACCCATCATAGTAGTAGTAGTAATAGTAGTATGAACATGTTCGGGTTCAAGTCCGCACCAATACTGTGAGTATGCACTGCTGGTTCTTCCTGACAAAAAATGAAGCAACGGTACAATGTTTTTCGGTGTTATGCGGTATTGTGTGATAAATCGCTCTCTAACTGTTTTCTTCTCCCGCCAGTCGTATTCGTCAAGCAGCATCAGAAGTGGTTGAACAATATGTGCTCAGTCGAAGTGGATGAGTACTGAAAAGATATGCTCCAATGAGTAGGTCTCTGTCTCTATGGTTGACAGTAGTAAACGTTCGCATGACGATACCCGATGATCACTGTGGCATGTAGTTCTCATTTGGAACCAATCGATGAAACCAATCTATTCTAATTTTAGCATTCCCGACCTTGTATGTCCCCGGGTCACAGTGGATTTTTCTTTTGGGAAGTACTTGCAATCGGTTGTTTCTCTTTTTCATTGGGTTTCTCGCAAAGCTGTATCGGTTTTATCAATTGAAGAGAGATAAGAAATGGCACAAATCTCGGTTGTTTCGTGTGCTTATACGGATGTTGAAGTTTAGAACATGACAGTGATTCATCCAGGCTGCGTTTGACAAAAAAAAATGGTGAGCACAGAAACAACGTAGCAGGGAATTCCAAATACGATACACCCACCCCACCATACTTGGACTTTTGGAGGGAACTCCTTCCTAATTAGGTAAAAGAACATCAAGGTCTATGTAGTATTTATTTTTGCTGAATGTGATCATATTTATTACAGAAGAGTCGTAAAGGGTTAATTCGGTTAGATGACATTTTTGTATTAAATACAAATCAAATGCAAACGGAAACGCTCAGAAGCAATGTACAGCTAGTTCCTTGGATTTTATCAACAGTGCCAATCTGGTCACTGTGAAACGAGTCATCATCTGCGTGGTCAAATTTGGGTTTAGTTATCTGTGAGCTGCACAGTTCGACAGTCCACCTTCAGTCATTCACGTGCAACGTCTTCCATTGACCATTAACTAAGTCACCTTGTGTGTGTGCAAACTCACGACGCCCCTAACTAGATTTTTTTGATTAACCAATATTGTTCAACTATTCAGTCGTTGGGTTGATACTACTAATGATATGAAATGTCTACCAATTGATGATTTTGTTCGCCCGTGTGTAAGAAAATTGTTTTCCATTCTCATCCCGTATTTCATCGCTATTCTCGTTTTTTGTCTCGGTCCGAATCCATTTATTCAGGACACGGTTCATCGTAAAGTTGAGGATCGTGGCAGGACCCCTATCCTGTCCGTACTTGAACAATGCTATCGTTTCTCCCTTGGCTCAATTGCCGGTGCGTTCGGGGCCACGGCAGTATATCCGATTGATCTAGTCAAAACACGAATGCAAAATCAACGCACAGGATCTGCCATCGGTGAGCTGTTATATAAGAACAGCTGGGATTGTTTCAAAAAAGTGATACGGTATGTAATTCTTCATAAACGGAAGATTGATCTCTTTTTAGAAGATAGAGGAGAACGATTTGATTCGATATTCTGGAATATTTCCTCCTGTCCATGTGCATCGATCAAGGCCCAAACAGCTTTTCGGGTCATGTATTCTTCTTTTTTACCCAAATGACGTTTTCTCATCATTACTGAACGTTGAAAAATGTTCCATCTGATTGGAACAGTTTATTTGTTGATCTCAGACTCTTCAAAAAGTGTCCGCATTTTCGTATTTATTTGTTTTCGATCTGCAACGATGATTTTTGGTAGTTAGTCAAATCTAGGAACCGCCCTAAATGTGGATAAATACTGTTCATCTGTTATCAAATCACTCTTGTGGAGTTAAATTGGATTGGTGAAGACAAAAACGTGGTGAAACACGACATACATAAGCGATCAAGCAAATTCAGCGAGGTTTGAGTTAAAGGCTTTCAGTGACATGATTGGCGTAAACAAGAAGCCGCGCAACGTTCGGCATCACATATCTCACGGATTCAGCTCACTTATTTCTTCTGTGCAATACGTTCCATATCGCTTATAAACCACGTGCCGATCTGTGCAAAATCTTCAGCTAACACCAATTCACTTTCTTTATTTCGCTCTCTCCCTCTGAGCTTCAGGGGACCAATCAGGTATCTGTACTATGGTCGCCTTATATATATATATATATGTAACCGCCTGATGCATTGTATGGAAAAGAGATTTGTTTGCAAAAACCGTTTTCTGCACTCGCGATTTATTTTAAAACTCCTCCACCCGCCCCCCCTCCCCCAATCAGGTTTGAAGGTTTCTTCGGTCTGTATCGTGGATTGGGCCCACAGCTGGTTGGTGTGGCTCCCGAGAAAGCAATCAAACTGACCATGAACGATCTGGTACGGGATCAATTCACCTCCTCCGATGGGAGCATTGCGTTGCCTGCAGAAATCTTAGCTGGTGGTTGTGCCGGCGCTAGTCAAGTTGTGTT